TATGTAATATTATAATTATAAATCTAGTGCATGCATATGTAGTCTTTCGTTATAATTAAGAACTTTATGCAATATTGTTTAGTATAATTTATTCACATTGTTTTGAATTTGTAGTTTACCATATGCTAATTCAATTCGTGTGCAATTACAATACTTATGCAATGTGAAACATATGAAAACTATCAACATTTAGAAAATAGGTATAGGTGGTTGAAAAATGATTTGGTTTATAAAATTTATATTCCTTCACTCTTTCAACAATTGCTCTGTGATTTAGCAGAGTAGTATCGTAATATTGTTTTAATACATTACTATAATTATTGAATATACGATCACCATCTTATGATCATGGTTGATGTTTAATATCCTGATCTCTAGCTCTTTATTGACTGGTTAACAATTTATTCTTGGAGCATTACTCCGACTAAGATATTTTAATGTTGTAACTTATTTATTTAAAACTTTTTAATACAATAAACGCTAAAACGCTGATTCACTTTATAGTAAGGTTATTCTGGATGCTACTAAGATGTTCACATGAATAATTTAGATAAAACTGGTCTCTGGTCATTTATTAAATCATTTATAAGCCGGTCAACTGCTTATCCCCTTGATTGACCATTTATTGAACAATAGTATTGTTTCGGCTTAACACCCAATTAAACACACTCTCATTTTTTGTCAAAGGCACCTGAAAAAAGAATTTCCATTCTTGTATAAATTTTTAATATATGCAATCATCTTCATCGTATTGTTATTTCATAAAAAATTGTTTTTGACTGAAAAACCTAATGATGGAATGTATCTAATTCTGAAACGTCGTAGTTAACATCTCTAAAAAACTGTTTTTTTTATTGGATTAATTGTTTGGAAAAGCATATATAGATTTATAAATACATATATAATCTTAATACCTATCCTATGTGATCATATATTTCTATTATCCCAGAAAACTGTGTCCAAATGTCAAATGGCATGCCACCAGCGCTTCAGAATCTAAGTCCGAAGTAAAAGCCTCCCCAACTAAAAAGTCTCCTGTGAAGGAGAAGCAGACACCCACGAAAGAGCAGAATGCAGCCAAGAAAGACAAAGAAAATAAAAGGCAGAAGCACCAGCTCAAAAGAAAAATGATAAAAAATCTGCAGCCACCACTAAAAATAATCAACAGGATGATGTGAAAGTTAAGAAGAGCTCTAAAATAAGCAACCCGAAGAAAAACCTCTAGACTTTGATGATGGCAACTGGGAACAGTTTTGACCAAGAACGATAAAAAGAATCGCAAAAACTTAGAAGAAGCTAAAAAGGAAAGCCCCAAGAAAATGCTAAGAAGAAAAGAAATTGATAACAAGAAACTTGAAGAAGTTTTGGATAACAAGAAACTGGAAGAAGTCACAAAAGAAATCAAAGACAAGTCAATGAACAGCAAAAGCTGCAGCAGAAGTCGAAAAGGTCAAGGAAGTTGTGCTTACACCCGTAGTTGAAGCTGTTAAAGAGGAAGCTCCTGCTGATGATAAGAAGAAGGCTAAGAAAGCTAAGAAGGTCGAAAGTCAACCTAAGGTTGAAGCTGAGAAAAAAGAAACCAAAAAGGAAGTGAAGAAGGAAGTTAAAAAGGAGGTCAAAGCAGTCGAAGAGGAGGCTGTTAAAGTTGCAGTTGAGCCTGAAGTTGCTAAAACTGCTGCACCTGCACCGGTATCAGACCAGCCTGTTGCTTTTGATGAATTGGGAGGTAAAAAATAATAAATAAAAATATAACATAGTAGTATAAGTACACCAAAGTGCTTATTATGCTCAAACAATTAACATTTGTTTAAATATCTTGCAAATCACATTCATTATTGAAATTCAATGAAAACAAAGCACTTGTTTGTTAAAACTTGATCTCTTGTCCATTGTTTGTTTAAAAATTCATTGCAGACACAATGAAATATTTTTCAATGTTCACACAAGATAATAATGAAATTTTAATATGCATTTGTCAATATCTTAAATTACATGTTTAATACTACAGTTTTAAATTTGTTATTTCTTTAAAACCGGTGTAATCTGCTTTTATTGTTTAAAAGTATAATAATAGACCACAGATTTTCTCCAGAGGAAAATATTACAAAATAGAATTATGTTTCAAATTACAAGTGTCCAATGCATTTGTCTACTTACAATTAATTAATACAATGATCACAAATTAATCTTCAATAATTCTTCTACTAGATGTGTGGACCGAGGCCAAAGCTGCAAAGAAAACCAAGAAAAAAGCTCGCAAGGAATGAATAAATATCACATTGTAGATAATTACTAGAAGAAAAATTGACGAGTTCTTGTCTTGTCTGTCTAAATAATACAAGACACTCGTGTGATGGTTTGTATCATATCTGTCAGTCGTATAAATGCGGTTGAAACTTCAGAATCATATGCTGATATAATTTTGGTTTTTGAAACATAATTTTGTTGAATGTTTCTAAGTTTTATCGAGTGAAAAGTGCACTGCCTTTTCTCAGCTGGTACCTGAGCTTTGTAAAAAAAATTGTTTTAGTCAAAGTACATGCAGCTTTTGTTGAGATAAATAATTAATGAGTCAAAGGCTGCATGTATTTATATTTTGTAAAGTGTAATAACTTTTTCGGGAGAATGATTTTTAGAGATTGTGTTTTTAGATTTTGTTTGCAAAATGACCAACTAATTGTTAACAACGATGTTTTTTTTATTGTTTGAAGATATTAATAGTTTAGAATGGAAGTAAACTCATCATATTAGGAGGTCCAACGGAATTAGGGTCGATTTATACAAACAATACATTTATATACATATATATATATATATATATATATATATATTTATATATATATATATATATATATATAATGTGTATACAATCTAAATCACATTAATTTATTGGTATAGATCGACTGTATGACAATAAACTTAGTTAACCTTAACTAATAGTTGGAATATATTAATTAAAATCGATTAATTTAAATACAGCACACTATGACATGATTTTTAAAACTCGCTATACGACTTTTATAAGACTGCAACATAGAAAGAGCGCTGCTTTTGTGTACTTATAAAATGTCCTATATATTTTTCCAAAATAAATGTTTTCTGTTTCGATGATATTTGAAATACTGTGTAATTGTAAATATTTAATATTACTTTTAAGCATAAGTATAGTTATATATACAATTAGATTATAAATAAAAAGACAATTAATATATATATAAATAAATAATGAGATATAGATATATTGTAAAGATGTGTTATGCCCTATTTTTGCTTACGATGGAAATATAATGAAGATATTTTTGTAAGTTATTTTTGTTGGCTTTTTGGTAAAAATTTGCTAGTGCCAAAAAAATGTTTAAGCTCTATTAGGCATAAATAAAATTGCATGTTCAGTGTATGAATACTAAGTCTCTTCCTATCGGCAAACACAAAAGTTACCTATAAATATCACAAAGGCTGCTAAATACAGTCGTCCGACTTTGAAGATTCTTTAAATTTAGCTAATGTATATAAAATTATGTACGCATATCATTTTTTATAGTAATTAATTTTAATCAGATTGGAAATTGTAATATAAAATTCTTTTGCAATTGTTATTGTAAGAATGAAATATTTGATTAAAATGTTTTGTCTGCAAAGAATTTTTAAACAAACCATGAATTTTAGATTAAAAGCAGAAAAATTAGTTTTTAAACTATTATATAATGAATGCAATTTGCAAAACATTTTGAACAAATATTAATTCAAGTAAAACATGATATGTTTATACATCTATTTGATAAATTATAATTTGTATAGTTTCCAAATGAATTTTTACCCATGGGACTGAACAATGTTATAATATCTTTTACAAGACAATTTTACTAAATGATTTTTAATATGTGTAATTAATAATGTAGTATAATAGATAATTTATAAATTATATATTTGTAGATAATTAATTTTGAATTTGACGCGTTACTTTAGTGGTGTGAAGATGGTTTTAAGTTAATTTTTTTTATACGCCTATCTTCAGGTGTTTTGACAGTTACATTATTTGTACTTGCCACAATTTTTGGTTGTTGAAAATTATTGTGTAATTATGTGTTTTGATTTTAAAAAGAATATAAATCTTTATTATATATACGTGGATGCGTTTTTATTAGTAATACATAACTAAATAAAATAAGTAAAAATGTGGATATAAGGTAAGAATTTTTTTATTGGGGTTATGTACAGTGTCATTGTATTGTTCTTATGAATGCTTGTTGTTCATTGTTAAGAGTAATTAATATGTTTATAATTTGCACAAATTTTGCGGTAAATACTTTGTTTATTTGTATGTAATTATATGAAGTGAATTTTCCCAAAAAACTATGTAAAATCCGCCGTTGGTTTGAAGTTTTCAATAAACAAAATGGCGGTTTTAACAGAATTTGTTTAAAAGTAAAAAACAACCAGTAAATTGATATTAATTTTTATTAAAGTGACATTGATAAATTTTACAACAACGGTATAACAAAACATACACATTTCAAAGCATATAAAAAATATGATCTACAAAGCAAAAAGACAGTACTATCTAGAAGAAACACAAAAATGTGAAAATGATCCTCGGAAAATCTGGGAGCTAATAAACAAATCATTAAGGGGGGGAAATAATAAAAATGAATATAAAGACAGTATTAAAAAAATTAAACATCAAGATAAAAACAATTTCTTACGGAAAAGGAAAACATTGCGGAGTATCTCAATAAACATTTTGCTGAAATAGGAACAAAACTACAAGAAAAACTAGATCAATGCAACTACATATCATCAATATCTAGACCTGAAAACAAAAAACAAAATTTTGAACTAACAAATGAAAAAGAAATAATAAAAATTGTGGAAAACCTGAAAAACAACGCTGCACCTGGAGAAGATAAAATAACAGCAAGAATTATAAAAAAAATAATTTATCAAATAGCTCCTCTACTCACTTTTTTAATCAATAACTGCATAAAAAGGGGTATTTTTCCTTCGTGCCTCAAAACAGCCACAATAAAACCAATTTTTAAAACAGGAAACAAAACAGATCCAAATAATTACAGACCAATTACAATAACTAATACATTCTCCAAAATATATGAAAAAATAATTAAAGAAAGACTACTAAATTTACTCATTCAAAAAATAGATAAACATCAATATGGTTTCCTCCCTTCATCAAATACTCAAGGTGCCCTAATAGATTTGACCAATACCATCAGTCAGCACCTTGAGGAAAATATGCATACAGCTGCAATTTTTATTGACTTACAAAAAGCTTTTGACACTGTAGATCATGGCATATTGCTCAATAAATTAATAGATTTGGGTGTAGTAGGTTTGTATTACAACATAATTAAAGATTTTCTCGTGGAAAGGGTGGTAAGGACGAAGGTGGGAAATTTTACAAGTGGGGGTCGTAGCATAACTTGTGGAGTCCCACAAGGTTCTGTTTTAGGTCCTTTATTATATCTGCTATATACCAACAACCTAAAAGATGTAAAATTAAAGGGCAGATACATACTATATGCAGACGATACTGCCATAGTATATGCAGATAAGGACAAAAAAAGGCTTGAAGATACAATAAACACGGACATGAAAACATACACCGACTGGCTAACTAAAAATAAACTAAGAATTAACATCAATAAAACAAAATACATATATTTCAAACATAAAAAAATACTGAGAACACTAAACTAAGTATTAAAGTAAATAATAGAGAAATAGAAGAAGTGGAAAGCATAAAATACTTAGGACTGATAATAAATGAAAAACTGACATGGACAGAACATATAAACAAAATAAAAAGAAAAATTGGAACATTAACAGGGGCATTGAAAAGGATCCACTCTTTCGGCAAAAAAAATAAAATACTAATTCTTAAAACACAAATACTACCTATAATTTATATGGAATAACAACATGGAGCCAAACAACTAAAGCTAACTTAAATGACATACAGACAATAATGAATAAAGCCACCAAAATAGCATACAATTTTCCACATCTGACACCCACCAAATACTTACAGAGAGAAACAAATAATCTTTCACTAAATAACATAATTAAAATAGAGAAATGCAAACTAATACACAAAATGAAATTTAACCGAATTAAAACAAGCACAACAATAGACATAAATCAAGATATACATGAACACTATACTAGACAACACAACAATTTTCACATTGAACACAATAGAAAGAAGAATTTCAGAGAAAATGTCATATGGAGTGCCAGCAAAACATATAACGAATTGCCAAACAATATTAAGATGACCAAAGATGACGATAAATTTAAAAGAAAAATAAAAAAACACTATAAGGAAATTGAAGACCAAGAAGACTGAAGAGTGATATATAAAGATATTTTTAGTTATATATAGATATTATATTAATGAAATAGATTATTATAGTCAAATGAAATGTATATATTATATGAAAACTGTTTTCATAATCTCTCATACCAGGCAACTCTGCCTGACTGAGATATGAAAATAATGTATATATATATAAAAAAATAAAAAAAAAAAAAAATGTCTACAATAAACACTATATATCCTTTTATATTTTTATCTCAATTCTGTTTCCTTCCCAAACTTTTGCTCCTGGTCATAGTTTTGCTCTTAGACCTAGCAGACTGAGGTCCGACACTTTTGCTCCTTCTAAGGGGCTTATTGCCCTTTGCACTTTTATTTTTCGCATTAGAATTTCCTACAGCGACTGTACGGGGTCTACGCTGGTTGTTTCGGGATTTCCCCCGCGTACCTCCGCCTCCGGTGCCTCCTCCGGGCGCTCCGGAACTTTGAGGCGCTATTGTTTTAGGAATATTGCTCCCGGTTTGATTTTCGGCCGCGTTTGGATCTGGACGGGCAAACATGTCGTAGGTGAACTTGTAACAATTCTTTCCTGGATAAAATAATTTCTATAATATATTTCTAAATATTTTCTATTAATCAAACATTTTTTTTAATTTTTTTTTATTACCGTCGCAGAGTTCTTCAAGACATTCAGCACAAGAGACCAATCTTGTTTCAATGACTCCAGCACGATTTTTGGTTTTTCGAGCATCAGGTTGTTTTGCTTCCTGGGTCTTTTCTCGTTCTAGGGCTTTCATTGAAGCTTTTCCGAGTTCCACCAGTCTGTAAGTGATTTTTTAAACCTTTTATTATTAGTAACCATTTGTATGTATTTAATCATTGTACCTGCTGAAATATTCTTCGTCCACTTTATTTTTTGGACGCAAAGTGGTCAACATTCTCCAATCAATTGGAACTGAGTACAAATCTTCCATTTTTAGAGATTGCATCTCTATTGGAATTGGATTTTGGTATTTGTATCTGCCGCCTGTGTTTGCTTCTTTGTTTTTACGAACCATCCCTAAATAATAAAAAATAGAAAATGATAATTAATAAAAAAAAACTGCTGACGACCAGCCAAGTCGTCATCTTTCTAAAGTTTTTCATTTTTGTCCAAATTTTTTGGCAAAATATAAACTTCTCGCCAGGGAAGTTAATAAAATTTAAAGGATAATTAATGAATTAAATATATGATGATTTTTATTTACCTGGTGTAGGTGATCCTGTATTATTAGCCCTTGCCTCCTGCATTTGTTGCAACCGAAGTTCCTGGCTCAAACGTTTTTTGGAAATGCGAAATTTGAAGTTTTTTTCACGTATTTTGATCTCTTCTTGACGAACCTGAATAACAAAATTATAAATAATAATAGATTTATTATTTAGATATTTTTTATTACCTTGATGGGTCTTGTTTTGTAGTCAGGCACTTGTTCCAGCAGCCTCTTAAATTCTTCTTTGGTGTCAGCTGAACATTTGGATAAATCTAAGACTGTTGTTTCCTCCTTTTTATCACCGAATAAATCATCCATTTAATATATTAATGTTAATTAAATATTAACAAACAATATTGCCATGGGCGTTGAATAAATAAATAAATAAATATGTATAATTTTAGGTAAAGTTTCAGGCAAAATGGAATTTTATTGATCAAACAACGGGAAATTTAACCTATTTCTATAAATAGCTTCTTGAATTATTTTCTGATTTCATGGAAATTAAAATAAATTAGGAACTGACAATTTTAAAATTATCTTTTAAAATCATGAATTAGTTTTTAAAGTACACCTATCAACAACAATGTTCATTAGAGAATTATTTTTATCATTTTGCAAGGTTTGGTGATCAGAATGTTACTTTTGTACATTTTTTTTTTATTTATAAAAATGCGGAAATATATTAAAATCACTTTATTACAAATATATTATCAGATAATAATTAAGGTTTAAAGAAAATATAAGTTTTTCAAACAATTATAAAAATTTTACTCCATTTTTATTAAAACAATGATTACATTCGGTAAAACATTTTTATAAATGTTATAAAATATTTTAAATAGATGTAATTAAAATTCAGTAAATCTAATTATTATAAAATAGAATAATATATAAAATATTAAATAAGGTATAATATCAATATAAATCGGTGCAAAAATTTTAATAAATAACACAATTATCTATGATTAATACATTATGATATAAAATTATTGTTTAATAAATCTGGTTATATCTATATAAATGATTATTGGTGAGTTTATATTAGCCAGTTGTGCTATATGTAGTAAACATGCGAGTATATAAATTATTTGATGCTTTACTTTAAGAATAATTATATGATTATAATTATTTATTTTTTATAAGTACTAGATATTTCTTAATTTTATTACAAACTTTGAGATGTATAAGACTTAAAAAAAGTTTATTTTTTGAATATTGTAAAATTTGTAGAAAAACCATTTGTAGAGAAACAATTTTTATATTAATCTTATTTTGAAATTGTAGAAACTTTATAAAAATACTCAAATAAATATTAACAATACTATAATGATTAAATTCAAGAATATATTTTTAATATCAAACTAAAAAACAGAAACAATATTAAATATAATATAGCTATAAATATAGCATCAGTTAAAATGAAAAACTCTGAAAAACTACATAAAACTCAAGTTTTACTATTAATCAAATAAAGATAAATTTTTATTTAACAATTTAAAGAAAAATCAACTTTGGGAAATTTTTCTAATAAGTTTTAGAAAGTTTTTCTAAAACAACAATTATTTTGTTCTAGAAAATTTCTTGAAACCTAATAGAAATTCATTCAAACTTTGCCTTTTTTATAAATAGTTAATTCACCGCAAATACAAAAAGTTAACTAATGGTGTATGGCATCGTACCTTAAGGCAAATTGCTAGAACTTCCCGTACCGTAATGAAATATTCGAGAAATTTTAAACGTTTTCAAATATATTATTACAATTACTGTTGTAATTTTCATTATTTTTGCTATCTTGTTATATCTGAGCAAATCAAATGTAAATCATAAATCAATTTATCTCCAGAACATTAACAATCGTTATTCCATTTCGAATTCAATTTCAAAAAAATTAAAAAAGTGCTCGCGCATAGTCACATTCTAAACGCATTTGCAAATAATTCTGTGCGATATTTTCACTTATACTGTGCTTAGCTTGGCGGCATTTTCACATTTTTCAATAGTTTTCACCAAATTGGAAAAGTGCTCACATAAACAGTCTAAACGCACTTGGGTAAACATTTGTACCAGAGTGGCGCTTAGACTGTGCTTAACCTGGGTAATTTTTTGAATTTTTAATCCAAAATTATAAGAATATTTTATGGAAAATAAAATAAGATGTAATAATTTTTTATCCTCAAAATCAATTGTTTTGTTAATACAAGCAGAAAGTTTCTTTAGATCATTCAAATCACACACACACACACACATCAATTTTTTCTGAGGTATGCCAAAATGTTCAGAAACCTTCAAAACGTCGAGAAATGCAAAAATATTCATTTTCGATTTTCGGCCCATTACTATAATTATCCTACGCGAAGTTAAAAATATTTTGGAAATTATATGATCATCTTTACTATATATAGCACACCTCTATAACTATCTATTTAACAGCTGATTTCTTCAATCTTCTATTTCCAACCGCTCAATAGTCCTCAAATCCTCATCACTGCCTTCATTTTTCTCAATTTTCCTCCAACCGTTCCTGGTAACAATTCCTTTATTTTTCCACACACCAGATCCGGTCATCAGTTGCTCCAAAATCACATCACTGGAACTTCCACTAGACCACTTTCTATTCCTTGATGATTTTTTCTTCTGGTTTTCATTTTGCTCGTCCAGTCTGTCTTTCCTGGTGAGCCCTGATGAAGTACGAACCAGGGGTACGATTTCTGTGGTCTGGTGGATGATGTTTCTGGAAACCTGTTTTGGTTTTTGGTTTTTGGAAGGTGTTTCTGTGTTCGAAGATTGGTCTGATGTGGATTTTGAGAAGACTTCGTCGTTTGGCTGGTCGTCTTCGCTGGAACCATCCACGCTGTACTCTTGCTGAAATAATAAAATATTTATACATTTACTAGATGATCCGACAGACGTTGTCCTGTACCCACATCTACATTTTTTTTAAATTTACTGTTCAGTTAAAAATAATAATTATTGCTTTTCGAATTACTATTTACACAAATATGAGTGATGTTAAATGTAGAACTGTTTCAAATAAAATATTATGATTCTCAATTCCCACAGTTAACACTTTAATTATCCCTTTAACACATATTAAAATATGTTCAATAAATTTGTATATTGAAAATTATACACTGCAATTTATAGAACAAATTTATTAGCAATCGCTCAATTTATTTTTTATCTATGCCAAATGCCTGTAGATGGGGATGTATAAATGAATGATTTTTTGTTTATTCACGACTAAAACATTGATTTTCCAAATGTATCACACAAGAAATGATATGTTTTTATGATGTATTTATGGTCACAGCATAAGATACACGTGTTGCAAATTGAAGTCTTTCACAAGGTATAACAAATTCAGAAAGAATTATAATATATAGCATTTGCGGTAAAGGTACAATATCATCTTGGATTTTTCTACCCAAAATAATTGTTTCAATAATGTTGCCTAAAATTAACTGGTTTTTAGTAATTGTAATATCTAAATTACATTTTTCTCACTAATAATTGAATGTACATTATTACTTAAATTCATATTTGAAGTGAATTAATTTGTCAAATTCTGTTCACATGTGCTCTATTTAACCTACGACAAACAAAATTATTGTAGTAAATAGAGAGGAAAAAAGCGTGTGTTCTGCGATTTTTTTTACTATGCTCCAATTTGCTTGATTTTTTGGAAATAGGCTAATCTTAACCTTAAGTTCAGAAGTGAAAACAATTTGCACTTCTTCACCACCCCCGGCACTAATTGGATTATAACTCTTTTAATTCTGATTTTATTAGAACTTGTTATATACCATTTTAAAGGTAATTAAATGAGCTACAACTTTCTCTATCATAAATTTTACCGTAACTTCTCTTATTTTGAAACGGCGAAGGGTTAAAGGGCTCGAAAGACACTCCGGTTGGACAGCCGCGCACTCTTTAAACAATCATAACTCTATCAATATTTGTGTAACAGAAAAATAATAAAAAGCAAAAATTAGTCAGAAAAAGACCTTGAATTTCAGAGATATAATAATGAGAAATTGGTTTTGTTTTAAATGATTTTTTGTCATGAAATCATGAGCTTTTTGGAAATCGTTTGCACTAAAGTTGTGGTATTTTCTAGAATCCGTCAAGATCTCTTAAACCAAGTTAATTTTAGAGGGAATACGATTATTTTTAATTTTGGTGGAAATGGCACTCAAACTATTTGATTTAAATGAAAAATATATTGTATGCGTCTTTTATTTGCATGGCAGCTCACTCATTTTAAAGTTGAGTACTATAAAACCCCATTTTCATATCTAGCCTAATATTGTTCCTAGAACACTTTATAGAACACCGATTTATTAAGATTTTAATTCATATAATTTTGTTCATTTCATTATTTTCGTTAAAATGTATATTGCTGAAGATATTAGCAAACAACGATTTTACTTTTTTTTAACGTTCAGTTAAAAAATAATAATCTGTCAAATTGAAATTTAAATATTGTATGTTTAAGGCAATCACTGACATTCAACAACCGTGAGACGCATGTTGACTCTATTTTATTACATTATTTTAATTTTTGGCACATCTCAGCTGCTTTTCGGCAATAATAATGTAGACATTACATTTTCCTTATTTAAAATCATAAACATATTACATTCTAATATTGTCTTGGCCTATAAGCGAATGGAAATGTTTGGCAAATGACAGTCTTCATTTGTTTTTAATGTCAAACTATGCTTCAAATATTTTCAAGGTCAAACAATAATAAGCAGTTTTTTGTAATTTTTTCTAATAATTCCTACAATCTAACTATATTTCTATGAATCAAAAAATCCTAGAAAATTCGAGCAAACTTCAGGAAGATTTATGAAAATCCGAGTAATAGTTTAGGATTAATCTTTCATACGCCATTATAGAAGAATTTTATATATAAGATATATGTTAGGGTAGTCCTTAATATTGACATTTTCGAACTTCCTTGCTCCCAAGGGCTCAAATGATAAAAAACAATTCTCTAAAAGTTTTAGCTCTTACTATTGCCTTTTAAATTTTACATTCACTTACCTGTATTTCATAAGCTCTTCTGAGTCTAATCTGTCGATGCTTCCTACGTCCCCCATTGCTCCTCCTCAATTCATAAAAAGGATCCTTTTCGCTCTGAGTAACGTATCTCACAGTGGGTCTATTAGCCCCCCATTTAGGCCTCTCATTCGAGGGTCTCCTTTTACCATTATTTCTAACACTGCTGGCACCGCCATCAGAAGAAGAAACCGATCTTCTTTTATTTTTTTCATCAGTCTGGGTCCAAGCTTCCTTGAGTTGTCCTGACCGGAATTTGGATGGAGTTAAAGGTCTATCGGACCCGCAAGCCACGTGGCAAAGGCTTCCTGCAGAGGCATATCGTGGTAGTATTGCCTGATGGGGGTAAAAGTCTTTGTGGTAGGGTTGGAAGCTGGTATTGGGGGATGGTAAGGGATTTGGGGTGACTAATTCTTGGTTTTGTGGTAAAACTATTTGTGAAAATTCTGGAGGATTTGGTACGTTGGCAGTATCAGGTTTGTCACAATTTATTGGTTTTTGCATAAATTCGTTCCCCATATTTCTGACTGTATAAACTATCTGAGGTTGCACATTCGGTGCCATAAAATTTGGTGTATACGTCAGTTGCAAAGATTCCAAACTACTCTGTAACTTGCTAACGTTTTGTGATGACTCTTTCTGAATTTCGTGATAAATTTGTTGGTTCTGCATAAAATTTGGTGCATAAGCCAATTGTTCTCGTGCTGACAGTATCTGGACATTTGGTACTGGTGGTGCAGATTGCACCATAACATCTGGAGGTCTCAAAAGCTGGTAGTACTCTGATGAGTTCACATTATTGTCCACGTATGTGGAAATATTTGGGTGTATGTAGTTTATTACTGGTGTTTGGGATTTTGGAATTATCAAGGGTTTTGTTTGATTGTCGGTTGCTTCTACGTTCTGATCGGGAATTTCTTCTTGGTTTTTATTAGTATCTGGTGTAGTTTCTTCATTCATCACAGGTTTTTGTGTTTTTCGCAATTTTATAGGTGAACCTATAAGTACTGTGTTATTTTGAGGCTCGTTTGGAGTTCTGCTTCCAGTGGATGCTCCTGACTCAAATGCAGAATCAACCTACAAAGAAAAAATAATAAGTAAAATATTTCATAAAATTTTTAATAAATTATAGTTATTATACCTGGTCGTTGCTTCGTCTACTGGATTTCCTACGTTCTTTTCTTCGTTTTTCAGCTTCTTCAGCAGCCTTTTTCAAGGCTTCTTCGGCAGCTCGTCTTCTTTCGTCTTCACGAGCTTGTTTTTCTTCACGTTCTCTCAATTCTCGACGTCTCTGATCATCTTCCCTAAGATAAAAAATAAAAAGTTAAATATCCGAAATAGATAATAGGGTAGAAAGACCCTTCAGCATTATCTCAAAAACAAGCAAAGTTTGGATTTTTTTAGCGAAACTATTTTAAAGTAGAGGGCTAAAGATATTGAATCTCTTTGAATATGAAAATTCAAAAACCGTTCGAAAAATATTGATTGGGAATCGTGCTGATTAGTTTTTGGTAAAGATCGGCCGGGCCGTTTTCTTGTAATAAAGTGTTAAAAAATTTTAACTGATATTTAATTTTTTAAAGAAAGTTTTTTTGGTGTTAGTATTTTTGTTTCTGAGCACGGTTATTTAGTTTAATATACCTGAATATAAAATTTTCATCATTGTTAGCAATTATTTTAAATTTGTCACTTTGTTTTTTCTTATACCATAAGCGTGGAAAAAGACATAAAAAAGAAGAAATTCTTTTGCCCTCTACTTTAAAATATTATCATTAAGATTTTTTATACATTTTATAAAATTTTCATCATCATAGAAATAAGCTTTGAGTTTTTTTTTAATTTGTCACCTTAATGGGACATTTTTCGTGCTCTACTTTAAAATAGTATCGTTAAATTTTTTATACCTGTTATAAAATTTTCATCCTTATAGAACTAAGCTTTATGCTATTTTTTAAAATTTGTCACCTGATCCTTTTTATCCTATAGGCGAGGTAAAAAGGGAAATATTTTGCCCTCTACTTTAAAATAGTATCGTTAAAATTTTTTATACATTTATAAAAATATCATTATTATAGAAATAAGTTTTTTACTATTTTTTGTCATTTTGTCTTTTTTATACATTTTTATACATTTTATAAAAAATCACCATTATAGAAATAAGCTTTATAGTTTTTTTTTTAAATTTCTCACTTGATCCTTTTTATCCCATAGGCGAGGTAAAAACGGACGATCTTTTGTCCCCTACTTTAAAATAGTATCATTAAATTTTTTTTAAAAAATCAACTTTATACAAATAAGCTTTATGATATTTTTTAAAATTTGTCACCTGATCTTTTTTATCCCATAGGTGAAATAAAAGCGGATACTTGTTTGCCCTCTACTTTAAAATAGTATCGTTAAAAGTTTTTGTACATTTTACAAAACTTTCATCATTATTTGAATTAAGAACCTGGTCTTATTTATCCTATAGGCGAAGTAAAGCGGACAATCTTTTGCCCTCTACTCTAAAATAGTATCGTTAAAATGTTTTATACATTTTATGAAATTTTCATCATTTAGAAATAAACTTGTTGCTATATTTTTAAATTCGTTACCTATTTTTTATCACATAGCCGAGGTCTAAGGCGACAATTTTTTGCCCTCTACTTTAAAATAGTACCGTTAAATTTTTTTTCTACATTTTATACATTTTATAAAATTTTCATCAAGCCTTTTGCTATTTTCTAAAAATTTGTCATCTGATCATTTTTATTCTATAGGCGTAGTAAGAGGAGACAATTTTTTTCCCTCTACTTTAAAATAGTATTAGTAAAAATTTTTGTACATTTTATAAAAATTTCGTCATTATGGAAATAAGCTTCAAGCTGTTATTTAATTTACTAGTCACCTAGTAAAAGAAATAATCTTTTGCCCTCTGCTTTAAAATAGTATTGTTAAAATTTTATACAATACTTGTTTATGGTGTTGGACATTTTTTGGAGTGAAAATTACCTCTGTCTTTGCTCCGCCAACTGCTTATCCCTCTGCCTTTCCTCAATCTTTTTCCTCTCCAACTCCTCTCTTTTTCTATCTTCTCTTTCCTTCAATTGCTTCAAAACTTCAGCCTGCACCCTTAGGGCTTGCGCCCTTTTTGCTTCGCGTTCCATCAACACCATGGAATCCAGGGGCACGTTTTGACCTCTCAAATGGGTCCTAGGACCAACAAAAATTTTATAAGTAATTACAATTACATAAATATTATAATAGATCCAAAACTATTTTAGGATGATGATACGTACCTTGGTTCGTCCTCCTGCTCCGTACCTGAAGCAGCAATGCTACTTCTATCCAGCCAATCTGGGGCTCCTGATGCACTTGCTGCAACCAGAGACGAACAGGAGGATGAGGTGCTCATCATGCGTCTTGGCATCTGTCTGGACCCTAGGTAAAGGAAATATAATAGAAAGATTTATTGCACTTGCCAAATTATAATTAATTTTGAAATTGACACATAAAAATTAAATATTTTAATTTAGGTAGTTTTTTATACATGCAAAATGTATAAAAATCTACCTGGTACTTTGGTAATTTTTATGATTCAATTTTTAGTACCTACTTTTTACCAAGTATATGATTCACATATTCAATTTTTTTCAAGAAGACGGTTGAAATTGTTGAACAAAATTCTATATTGTTAATAATAATTTAAAAAAATTTATAATATAAAGACAAATACTAACCTCGATCATCCCATCTCGGTCTGGTTGTGGTTGTTGCAGTAGGCATCATGGGTGCATGAATGCTTCCACTAGATTGTGATGAGATTTCTGGCGAACTGTATATTCTATAATTAAAATATTAAACTAGTGGTGTATGCTATCGTGCCTTAAGGCAAATTGCTGGAACTTCCCGTACCGTAATGAAATATTCGAGAAATTTTAAACGTTTTCAAATATATTATTACAAATACTGTAACGTAATTTTTATCATTTTTGCTATCTTGTTTGTTATATCTGAGCAAATCAAATGTAAATCATAAATCAATTTATCTCCAGAACATTAACAATAGTCATTTCATTTCGAATTCAATTTAAAAAAAAAAATGCCTGGTTTACACAAAATTGAAAAACTTGCTCCCGTATAGTCACAGTCTAAACGCACTTGGGTAAACATTTGTATCAGAGTGGCGCTTAGACTGTGCTTAGTCTGGGTACTTTTTTGAATTGTTCATCCAAAATTACAATTAAAAATTATGGAAAATAAAAAAAGATGTAATACTTTTTTATCATCAAAAGCAATTGTTTTGTCAATACAAGCAGAAAGTTTTTTAGATCATTCAAATCGGACGCTTAGTTCACTCAAAAACAGCCATTTTTGCACATTTAGCTCTGTATCTTCAAAATGGCGGGACCTGTCTCTGCCAAAAACTAATCAGCACGTCTCCTTATCAATAGGAATCGAATGTTTTTTGAATCATTGAAATCGGTTGGTCCGTGCGTCCGAAAACAATTTTTTGTTTAGGAGGAAAAATTGTATCCGTACATACATACACACACACACATATTCATTTTTTCTAAGGTATGCCAAACTGTTCAGAAACTTCTCAAACGTGAAGATATATAAAAATTTTCATTTTCGATTTTTTGCGATTACTATAACTTGCCCTACGGGAAATTAATAATATTTATATATTTATTAATGTTATTATAATAGGGATCTTAAACCTGCATTACGCAGAAATTGATATCAAGCAGCCGTGATATTCATTCTTATTCGAAATATCTAAGTAAACATATACTTGCCTGGAATTGCAACTTAAAGTTTAAGATATAATATATTATTTTTATTAGAAAAATATTGTAAGAAAAAAATTAAATATATATTGGTCAAATATATCATTTTTTTAGAAAAATTTTAATAGAAAAAAATTAAATATATGTTAGTCAACCATTGGGTTGTATTTTAAGGAAATACTAACTTATATCTAAGTAAAAATATATTTGCCTGGCATTGCAGCTTGAAGTTACAAATATATCATTTTTTTAGAAAAATTTTAATAGAAAAAAATTAAATATATGTTAGTCAACCATTGGGTTGCATTTTAAGGAAATACTAACTTATATCTAAGTAAAAATATATTTGCCTGGCATTGCAGCTTGAAGTTACAAATATATCATTTTTTTAGAAAAATTTTAATAGAAAAAAATTAAATATATGTTAGTCAACCATTGGGTTGCATTTTAAGGAAATACTAACTTATATCTAAGTAAAAATATATTTGCCACAATAGCTAGAAAATGGTCACCTTTTCAACAAAGCTCTGGGTTTTACCTAAGGCTGATAATTTTCTTGGAGCTCAAATTTTCATTTCAGCTTGATGTTGAGTTCTGGGACAGCCTGTATATATATATACATACATACATATATATTTTACTATATCGTCATCGATTTTATTTCCAGATTGTTTGCATGTTAGCCATTCATTCAATGTGATGTGACCTCCTTTAAGGACTTGGACGACCGTCCATTTGTTTTACAACACTTTAAGTTCAAAGAACTATTCGCCGATACATAATTTATATGGGAAACGATATGAAAATAGATCAGGAGAAAATAAACCTACTACGAGGTAACGATATTTTTATCAGATTTATGTAACCGATAATTTAATTCAATTATATAGTCGATGAACCGATCGTAGTAAATGTCTCGGCATTGAAACCAAATGGTTTTCAGATACAAATTACACATTCATGCAGTAGTGATATCAGTTTTTACGTCAAAATATAGATCAAGATGTATTTTCAAGGGAAGATAGTTTTTCAAGGCATTGATACAATTAACAAGGACAACCAAAGGGTTGCTTTCTAATAGGCAAATCACTTCTGTATTTGTAAAATTAAGTAAAGTTATTCTGACTTTGTACGGAGTAACCGATGTTTATTTTTAAATTTTAGCCAAACGAACGTCCTAAAATATTATAGGCCTACCAAAAGTGGTACAAGATTTTTGAGATTTTGTCATATTGAATTTCATTATATTATTGCAATGATTGCACATTATGTTATATTGGTTTATAATGCACAATTAATCTTTAATCCGAATTACTGGGATTCGATCTCGGTACCTCTATCATGCGAATCGAGCTTGTACTAATTCCATAATATACAAATTTTACCATTCTTTTAATATCATATTTATAATTCGACCCAAATATTATTTACAACGCCTCCGTTTCTTTTTAATATGTAAAATACCAGAACAACATCGCGTGTCACTCAAAATGGTAATTATTTAAGATTAGATTTTAATCTATATGTGTCTCTTGTAAAAATTATAAATGTTTCGCATTTTTTCTAGGGTAACTGGACTTTTATGGCCATTTTATTTTATGGGTGAAAATTAACCTGGTTCTGGAAATGAAATGGTTTGTCCTGGCCTGGTGATTCTTAGAATGTTAGATCTCGGATAATAAATATATAATACATTGAGAAAAATGAGCTTATTTTGTTGCATGGATGAAATAATTATATAATCAACGAATGGATTTTACATTTTTAAAATCGGTGCAGCCATTTTTTGAGAAAACGTCGACGAAAGGTCGTATTTTGAGTTAATGTAGATATTATTACCAATTTTGGTGTCAAAACGTTCAGAATGACTTAAAACATCACGAAAACATAAAGTTAGGAAATCAGATTTTCTGGTAAAAATATAAACTTTTTTTTCAAGCAGTTATTAATATCCTCAATGTTTTGAGTAAAAGAACATCTAAAAAAATAGAATAATAAATGACATGAATGACTAAATAAGTAAATATATATATATATTGGGGGGGGCGTCCATTAATCACGTGAGGTTTTTAGGGGGGGGGGTTTGACAAACAATCACGAAATATCACGTGGGGGAGGGAGAGGTATGGTAAAATATCACGTGTATTTATTTTTTACCTGATATTTTTAAAGAAATCCAAACATTTTCAAAAAAAATTAAAAAAGTACAATTTTGTTCCAGTAACTAAAAATACACGTGATGTGTGATGGGGGGGTTTATTTTGAATATCACCAAGAGACGGGAGGTTCAAAAATCCTTCAAAAACCGATCACGTGATTAAAGGACGCCCCCTGTTAGCAAATCGGATTTTCTGGCAAAAATATAAACTTATTTTTTAAGAAGTTGATAATATTCCCAATGTTTTAAGTAGCAGAATATCTTAAAAAATAAAATAATAAATGACAAAATGTATATATTAAGGGGCGTCTATTAATCACGTGCGGTTTTTAGGGACTTTGACAAAAAATCACGAAATATCACGTAGGGGTGAGAGGGGTGTAGTAAGATATCACGTGTATTTATTTTTTACTAGATATTTTAAAAAAATCCAAAATTTTCAAAAAAAAAACTTAAAATTTACAAATTGTGTCTTTTACAATGTACAATTTTTTTTAACTATACTATTTTAAAGTAGAGATCAAAAAATTGTCTTTTTTACCTCACTTATGAATAAATGATAATATATTTGATATATTTCTATAATGATAAAAAGAATCAGGTTACAAATTAAAAAATATAGCATAAAGTTTATTTCTATAATAATGAAATTCTTATAAAATGTATAAAAATTTTTAACGATACTATTTTAAAGTAGAGGGCAAAAGATTGTCCGCTTTTACCTCGCCTATGGGATAAAAAGATCAGGTGACGAATTAAAAAAATAGCATAAAGCTTATTTCTATAATGATGAAAATTTTATAAATCGTATAAACAATATAAACATTTTTAATGATACTATTTTAAAGAAGAGGGCAAAAGATTGTCTTCTTTGTGGGGGTGTGGGTAATTTTGAATATCAGCACGTCCAAAAATCCCTAAAAAGTCGATCACGATATTAATGGATGCCCCGTTATTATACAAACTCCTATTATCTTTATTATCAATTATAAAAATATTTAATTATCTCCACTTACCTATTTTCAGTTTGCCTCTCGATAGTTATATCAGTCTCAACATCGTAACTCTGCGTATCTAAAATCAAAATTAACATTAAAAAAATTTAAATATCAATTTTTTTTAACAAAAATGTTCTCCTCACCTGTATTTTCGGTGACGTTTCCTTCGGCTTGGTGCCGAGCCAGGGGCGGCAAACTCGGGCTCCTTGTCGGTCTATGATTCGGAA